TGAAGAGAGGCGTGGAGCCAACTTGCAGCGTATCAACATCTAACCAGGGGGCAGTAGTAACCTGAGCTGTGCCAGATTTCCAACAGCAAACCTCTGCAAACTGTTTTCACCGCACCAAAGCCACCATGATACGAATCACAAAACAGGTTCAAAAAAGCTTCAGCCGAAAGCCATCGAAAACCATCGAAAACCTGGCCACCTCGTTGACATCCAACAAATGAGGAGAATCAATCGTGTGTATATCGTGTCGAGATGTTCATCCACCAAGCAACACCACCTCCGTAACACGCCTCGCAATCGTCAGGAGCATGAATCAAATCTTCCTCAAAGTCTCCCTCAGCTTCTTCTTCGGGTTCTTCCTCAACCTCGGTCGCGACGAACAGCTGGATGGTAGTGGTCCGCGTGGGTGCGAAGTACATTGAAGTACAATTGTTGAAGTATGTTGAAGTCACAACTCTCCACAGATCTGGTGCGGATGCAAATCCCCAGTGGATATGCCCATTGCCCAGCAAATGCCCAGCAAACAATTGGCCGAGATTCCTGTTGGTCAAAGTTTTCCTCCAAAGCAATGAGAGTGCTTGGCGTGTTGCCTTGATGGCTGTCGCATGCTGTCGCCAGTGGATTGGTTAAGTTTTTCGGACATTCCGAAGTTGTCACGAAGTGGAAACATGTGGAAACCACATGATAAATGGCGGGGTTGGGACATGGTTGGGCTGCAATTGCCGTTGCAAAATTTGCAAAGCCTTTGACGACTGCGGTCTACTCCCAAAAAAGGTCTTTTGGGAAGCTGCTGACCGAAAAACATACATCATGACTATAGTAATTGGATGTAATTGGCATCATCTGGTAACAGGTTGTAAGACTGTAAGACATTTCATGTCAATCATCTCTCTATCATACCCTGCATGATAGCGCTGAGACGGCTAAATGGAGCCTAGCAGCAGGGATGCTGGCATTGCGCTTCTTTGGCAGCATCCACCAGACCTCTCAACATTCTCTCAACTACCACAGAAATTGACCCAGTAGAACTACAAACGTCAAAGCATTCCAAGCTGTCCATTGAGCCCGCCTGCGATGTCCTCCGTGGTCGCTGTCATGTTCACATCACACCGCGACTCGCACAAAGTTTTGATGGTCTGCACCTGAGGGTGAACACCTGTGCCTCCGCAATCCTCTGCATAGTGAAAACGTTGTGAAAACTCATTCTGTAGAGATGTTCTGTGAGGTCTCACCGGTTTGGGGGAAGCCATCAAGTGATCACCCTAGCAGCATTTCATCAGAACATCACAGGTGGGTTTGTTGAAAATAGGCTACCCCATTTTTTACCCCTATTTAGCCGATTCCACTGGCATCATTTTCCCAACACCGGGATACGGTCCACATGTTGTCCATGTGTCATGTCGTTTCTGAGAGTCACCTGGCCATTCCTGGCCGCCACGTGCAGCAGCAAATTGCAGAAGTTCGCACCGCGTTGGTCGCCTTGGAAGAGCAGCTGCAGCACATCCTCCTGGTCCTTCGCAGGTCAAAATTGGATGAATTGACGCACGCAATTCACCAACACTTTGAACCACTTAATTAAAATCTGTTAAAATCTGTTGAATATGACAAAATCTGAAGATGGTAATGGGCACAGCCTGTTGATAACTGGAAGAAATGAAAGAGATTTGTTGAATACATAAGTCTTCAATAGTCTTCATCTGTAGCTGCTATATGCTGCTATAGCCTTCCACTAGTCCATTCTTTCACTTCAGACACTGTATCAGTTCGCACGTGTTCACAGCACCATCCCCAGTTTCCTGGATGACTGCCATGAAGATTGCATTGATGCCACGCCGTGGATTGCCAACCGACAGGTGCTTATCGGCTCCAGCCTCTAGCAGGGCTCTGGCCACATCCACATGACCTGCGACGATGAGATTTGGCTGAAACCTGGGGTATGTGAAACCGAGACTGGCTTGCAACACACTTCCGGAGGGTCCCTGGATGTTCCTAATGTTCCTAGATGTTCCTAGATGTTCCTAGATGTTCCTAGATGTTCCTAGGAGACTCCTAGAATCATTCGTTAGATATATATCCCATCCCAAATGACTTCTCAAAATGTCAATAAAGTGTCATTGGGATAGGTGGCCACATATGGCCACCTGCAACTCATTAGCCATTCTTCAAGCTTATGCCCTTGGCACTGCAGGTTACTGCAGGGATACGATGATACGTTGTGATGCAAACTGTATGCGTGCATAAAAACAGTTTGTATGATATAGGCTTATAGGCAAAGAGAATAAAAGAGATGTTGGCGTAGTCAGACACCTTGCCCTTGCATAACAAATGTTTCATTCATCAAGACGCATGTGAGCGGAAGTTGCGTAAGGCGATTCACAAGCGCCTGATTGACACTGATAGCTGACACCAACTTGGAAACTTCATGGACAATACAAGTGAAAGGGAGGAAGAAAGCGAAAAGAAAAAAATAAAGGAAGAGAGAAAGAAAGATCGCCGTGGATCAGCCACAGTTGATTCACCATCTGTTTGCCTGATACATCTGATACAAGCCTCAAAGATCCCCCGATGCACCTCCCCAAGCGGCATAATGCAAGGCCGTATGCCCTCGAGTGGTCGTCTTGTCCACTTGCGCCCTTGCAGCCGCCAGCGTCCGCACCATGCAATCGCTCCCTCAAAAAAAGAGCGTCCATTCCGAGACATGGAATGGCGTGGAATGGTGGAGGGGTGCTAGCATGAGGAATGTGACATGGCACCAGCATGATGGATATTTGATGACATTTGGACCACCAAACACATCAAACATAATCAAACCAACACAACTGAAAAACGGAAATGTTGCGCTGAAACCCCTGGGGCCTGCATATCAATCATATCAGGAAGCAACGTTTGCAAGAATCCGAAAAGAAGACCGGGCTAAAGTCCACTCTTTCAACATGTTGACATTCAGCCCGAGTTACCCATGAAAGTAGCAATGTGCAACGGCGCCGCTCTGCATTCCAAGTTGTTTTCACGGTTCACGTCTGCTTTGTACTTTATCAGAACATCTGCGGTCTCAACTTGACCAGTTTCTGCAGCCATTAGCAGTGCAGTGGTGCCTTACACTGCGGAATGTCACACAACCTGCATATCAAAGGCCTCATAACCTCAACATGCCTCAACAGGTCTCAACAGGCCCGAACCTGGTGTATCAAAAACTGCTGTAAAGGCTGGAGCGGGCCCATCAAGTTTCCCACTTTCATAAACGGAAACAGTTTCAGTACTGAATTTGAAAAGGGTTCAATAAAAAAAACTAACCCGTAGCCTCATGAATGGTACATTCACCAGCACCCAAACGTGTCCCAAATGTGAGTCCTACTGGATCCTATTGGCACGTATCCGCCGACCCCGGCAGACGCAAGGGGGAGCGCGCCAGGGAATAAGACATTGTCACATTTGCCAGCCATTCGAAATTGACGGCCGCAATGCCCCTGTGTTTGGACTTTTCCTGTGATAAGACATTGTCCCATTTGCCATTCGAAATTGACGGCCGCAGTGCCCCTGTGTTTGGACTTTTCCTGTGAACAGTGTGGATTTGGTAGCTTTGCCACACCGGGAGGTGCTTTTGGTACTCTTCTTTCAGCAATAGCAGCAGCAGCACCACCACCACCACCAACACCAGCGCCAGCAGCAGCAGGAGGAGGGAAAAGGTAGCTAAAATCATCCTTTTCTTTGGGTTTCAGAAGTTACATTAGGCATTTTTTGGGCGCAATTTTGATGCCTTACCGCCCCTCGCTGCCATGGTGTTTTCCCATCCGGGAGCTAGCATTAGAACAGAGGGAGCAGCAGGAGCAGGAGCAGCAGCAGCAGGAGGAGGGAAAAGGTAGCTAAAATCATCCTTTTCTATTGGTTTCAGAAGTTACATTAGGCACTTTTTTGGTCGCAATTTTGCTGACTTTCCGTCCTTCACTGCCATGGTGTTTTCCCATCCGGGAGCTGCCATTTGAACAGAAGGAGCAGCAGGAGCAGAAGCAGCAGCAGCAGGAGGAGGAAAAAATTGCTAAAATCATTCTTTTCGATTGGTTTCAGAAGTTACATTAGGCACTTTTTGGGCGCAATTTTGCTGCCTTTCCGTCCTTCCCTGCCATGGTGTTTTCCCATCCGGGAGCTGCCATTTGAACAGAAGACAGCGGGAGCAGCAGCAGGAGGAAAAGGCAGCTAAAATCATCCTTTTCTATGGGTTTCAGAAGTTACATTAGGCACTTTTTGGGCGCAAATTTGCTGCCTTTCCGTCCTTCACTGCCATGGTGCTTTCCCATCCGGGAGCTGCCATTTGAACAGAAGGAGCAGCAGGTTTTCCCATCCGGGAGCTAGCATTGGAACAGAGGGAGCAGCAGGAGCAGGAGCAGCAGCAGCAGGAGGCCTTTTCTTTGGGTTTCAGAAGTTACATTAGGCACTTTTTTGGGCGCAATTCTGATGCCTTTCCGTCCTTCACTGCCATGGTGTTTTCCCATCCGGGAGCTGCCATTTGAACAGAAGGAGCAGCAGGGGCAGAAGCAGCAGCAGCAGGAGGAAAAAATTGCTAAAATCATTCTTTTCGATTGGTTTCAGAAGTTACATTAAGCACTTTTTGGGCGCAATTTTGCTGCCTTTCCGTCCTTCACTGCCATGATGTTTTCCCATCCGGGAGCTGCCATTTGAACAGAAGGAGCAGCAGGAGCAGGAGCAGGAGCAGGAGCAGGAGCAGCAGCAGGAGGAAAAGGTAGCAGCAGCAGCAGTAGGAGCGTCTTCAGCAGCAGGAGAAAAAAGTAGCTAAAATCATCATTTTCTATGAGTTTCAGAAGTTACATTAGGCATTTTTGCGGTGCCATTTCGAAGCTTTTCCGTCTTTCACTGCCATGGGGATTTGTCGCTGGGAGAGGTTCACTTTTAGGTGTCGCAGCTAGCCACCAGCAGCAGCAGCAGCAGCCTCAGTAGCAGCAGCAGCAGCAGTAGGAGCGTCTTCAGCAGCAGGAGAAAAAAGTAGCTAAAATCATCATTTTCTATGGGTTTCAGAAGTTACGTTAGGCATTTTTGCGGTGCAATTTCGAAACTTTTCCGTCCTTCACTGCCATGGGGATTTGCCGCTGGGAGTGGTTCGCTTTTAGGCGTTGCAGCTAGCCACCAGCAGCAGCAGCAGCAGCAGCAGTAGGAGCGTCTTCAGCAGCAGGAGAAAAAAGGAGCTAAAATCATCATTTTCTATGGGTTTCAGAAGTTACATTAGGCATTTTTGCGGTGCCATTTCGAAGCTTTTCCGTCCTTCACTGCCATGGGGATTTGCCGCTGGGAGTAGTTCGCTTTTAGGCGTCGCAGCTAGCCACCAGCAGCAGCAGCAACAGCAGCAGCAGCAGTAGGAGCGTCTTCAGCAGCAGGAGAAAAAGTAGCTAAAATCATCATTTTCTATTGGTTTCAGAAGTTACGTTAGACCTTTTTGCGGTGCAATTTCGGAACCTTTCCGTCCTTCACTGCCATGGGGATTTGCCGCTGGCAGTGGTTCGCTTTTAGGCGTCGCAGCTAGACACCAGCAGCAGCACCTGCAGCAGCAGCAGCAGCAGTAGGGATCCGTCCTTCACTGCCATGGGGATTTGCCGCTGGGAGTGGTTCGCTTTTAGGCGTCGCAGCTAGCCACCAGCAGCAGCAGCAGCAGCAACAGCAGCAGCAGCAGCAGCAGCAGTAGGAGCGTCTTCAGCAGCAGGAGAAAAAGTAGCTAAAATCATCATTTTCTATGGGTTTCAGAAGTTACGTTAGACCTTTTTGCGGTGCAATTTCGGAACCTTTCCGTCCTTCACTGCCATGCGGATTTGCCGCTGGGAGTGGTTCGCTTTTAGGCGTCGCAGCTAGACACCAGCAGCAGCACCTGCAGCAGCAGCAGCAGCAGCAGTAGGGATCCGTCCTTCACTGCCATGGGGATTTGCCGCTGGGAGTGGTTCGCTTTTAGGCGTCGCAGCTAGCCACCAGCAGCAGCAGCAACAGCAGCAGCAGCAGCAGTAGCAGTAGGAGCGTCTTCAGCAGCAGGAGAAAAAGTAGCTAAAATCATCATTTTCTATGGGTTTCAGAAGTTACGTTAGACCTTTTTGCGGTGCAATTTCGGAACCTTTCCGTCCTTCACTGCCATGCGGATTTGCCGCTGGGAGTGGTTCGCTTTTAGGCGTCGCAGCTAGACACCAGCAGCAGCAGCAGTAGCGTCTCCAGGAGCAGGAGAAAAAAGTAGCTAAAATCATCATTTTCTATGGATTCCAGAAGTTACGTTAGGCATTTTTGCAGTGCACTTTCGAAGCTTTTCCGTCCTTCACTGCCATGGGGATTTGCCGCTGGGAGTGGTTCGCTTTTAGGCGTCGCAGCTAGCCACCAGCAGCAGCAGCAGCAGCAGGAGCGTCTTCAGCAGCAGGAGAAAAAAGTAGCTAAAATCATCATTTTCTATGGGTTTCAGAAGTTACGTTAGGCATGTTTGCGGTGCAATTTCGAAACTTTTCCGTCCTTTGGCCATGGGGATTTGCCGCTGGGAGTGGTTGCTTTAGGCGTTGCAGCTAGCACCAGCAGCAGCAGCAGCAGCGAGCAGTAGGAGCGTCTTCAGCAGCAGGAGAAAAAAGTAGCTAAAATCATCATTTTCTATAGGTTTCAGAAGTTACGTTAGACATTTTTGCGGTGCTGCAATTTCGGAGCTTTTCCATCCTTCACTGCCATGGGGATTTGTCGCTGGGAGTGGTTCGCTTTTAGGCGTCGCAGCTAGCCACCAGCAGCAGCAGCAGCAGCAGCAGTAGGAGCGTCTTCAGCAGCAGGAGAAAAAGTAGCTAAAATCATCATTTTCTAATTTTCTATGGGTTTCAGAAGTTACGTTAGACATTTTTGCGGTGCAATTTCGGAACCTTTCCGTCCTTCACTGCCATGGGGATTTGCCGCTGGCAGTGGTTCGCTTTTAGGCGTCGCAGCTAGACACCAGCAGCAGCAGCTGCAGCAGCAGCAGCAGCAGTAGGGATCCGTCCTTCACTGCCATGGGGATTTGCCGCTTGGAGTGGTTCGCTTTTAGGCGTCGCAGCTAGCCACCAGCAGCAGCAGCAGCAGCAGCAGGAGTGTCTTCAGCAGCAGGAGAAAAAAGGAGCTAAAATCATCATTTTCTATGGGTTTCAGAAGTTACGTTAGGCATTTTTGCGGTGCAATTTCGAAACTTTTCCGTCCTTCACTGCCATGGGGATTTGCCGCTGGGAGTGGTTCGCTTTTAGGCGTCGCAGCTAGCCACCAGCAGCAGCAGCAGCAGCAGCAGCAGGAGCGTCTTCAGCAGCAGGAGCGTCTTCAGCAGCAGGAGAAAAAAGTAGCTAAAATCATCTTTTCTATGGGTTTCAGAAGTTACGTTAGGCATTTTTGCGGTGCAATTTAGAAGCTTTTCCGTCCTTCACTGCCATGGGGATTTGCCGCTGGGAGTAGTTCACTTTTAGGCGTCGCAGCTAGCCACCAGCAGCAGCTTCAGCAGCAGGAGAGAAAAGTAGCTAAAATCATCACATCAGTTTCTATGGGTTTCAGAAGTTACGTTAGGCATTTTTGCGGTGCAATTTCGGAACCTTTCCGTCCTTCACTGCCGTGGGGATTTGCCGCTGGGAGTGGTTCGCTTTTAGGCGTCGCAGCTAGACACCAGCAGCAGCAACAGGAGCGTCTCCAGGAGCAGGAGAAAAAAGTAGCTAAAATCATCATTTTCTATGGGTTCCAGAAGTTACGTTAGGCATTTTTGCGGTGCAATTTCGAAGCTTTTCCGTCCTTCACTGTCATGGGGATTTGCCGCTGGGAGTGGTTCGCTTTTAGGCGTCGCAGCTAGCCACCAGCAGCAGCAGCAGCAGCAGGAGTGTCTTCAGCAGCAGGAGAAAAAAGTAGCTAAAATCATCATGTTCTATGGGTTTCAGAAGTTACGTTAGGCATTTTTTGCATGGGGATTTGCCGCTGGGCGTGGTTCGCTTTTAGGCGTTGCAGCTAGCCACCAGCAGCAGCAGCAGCAACACTAGCAGCAGCAGCAGTAGGAGCGTCTTCAGCAGCAGGAGAAAAAAGTAGCTAAAATCATCATGTTCTATGGGTTT